CGTCTTGGAGACGCCTTGGAGACCATCCTGGGTCATCTTGGCCGTCTTGGACGCCATCTTGGGCCAACTGGAGGAAACAGAGGCACGACGGACGCGTTTTGAGCGCCTTTCTGGGTGGCCGGCGGGACGGGCCGAAGCCCCAGGGGGAGTTCTTTGGGAAAAAGAGCCAAAAAAACCATATCATCCGGCACGCCAGGCACCCCTTTGATAAATCAAAAGGGGGCGGCGGATCGAAGACGCCTACAGCGAATCACCACCGCCCCCTGCCTTTGTGGAAGCGCCTATGTGGCCGAACGTTGAGACCAGACCTGCCAACCTATCGGACCATCTGTTCCCCGAGTCGGTTTGGAAAGCCTTCGGGGAACACGTTGGCATCTTGAAGGTCATCTTGGCCGCCTGGAGGCCATTTTGACCCTTTCGGGCCTTCTTGGAGGACATCTTGGAGGGCTCGTGGGCCGTCTTGGAGGCCATCTTGAGCGTCTTGGAGGCCTCTTGGGCCGTCTTGGGGGCCTCTTGGGGCCGTCTTGGGCGCCTCTTGGGCCGTTCTGGGGCCATCTTGGAGGCCTCTTGGGCGATCTGGGGGCGATCTTTGGAGGCTCTTGGGCCGTATCGGGCCGTCGGAAGGCCGAAACGAAGCAAATGTCAAATCCTTCAAAAACCTTCGGATAGTCACTCTTTTTGGCCTTTTCTGGCCTTCCTGGAGGCCCTCTTGGAGGCCTCTTGGGCCGTCTTGGGCCAGCTGCGAGCCACCTTCGGCCATCTTGGTGGGCTCCTGGCCCGTGTGACGCCGTCGGCATCTTGGAGGCCTCTTGGGTGATCTTGGGGCGACCTTGGGGGCCTCAGGGGCCGTCTTGGGCCGTCGGAAAGCCGAAAAGGCGCAAATGCCCAAATCCTTCAAAAACCAGGGGAAAATCAGGGATTTTGGCCTTGTCGGGCCTTCCTGGAGGACCTCTTGGAGGGCTCTTGGGCTGTCTTGGAGGCCTCTTGCGGGCCTTTTGGGCCGTCTTACACCATATTGAGGCCATCTTGGGCCGTGTTGGATGCATCTTGGGGGCCATCTTCGCCGTCTTGGAGGCCATCTTGGCTGTCTTGGAGGCATCTTGCAGGCCATCTTGGGCCATCTTCGCGATTTTTTGAGGATGTCCCGAGCCAAACGGCCGTTTTTGGCGATGGCAACCGGGTCTTCCGGGTGGCCAGCGGGACGGGCCGAAGCCCCAGGGGGAGTTCTTTTGGAAAAAGAACCAAAGCCAAAAGCCGTAGGATTCGGCACGCCAGGCACCCCTTTGATAAATCAAAAGGGGGCGGCGGATCGAAGACGCCTACGGCGAATCACCGCCGCCCCCTGCCTTTTTGGAAGCGCCTATGTGGCCGAACGTTGAGGCCAGACCTGCCAAGCTATCGGACCACGTGTTCCCCGAATCGGTTTGGAAAGCCTTCGGGGAACACGTGGGCATCTTGAAGGTCATCTTGGCCGTCTTGGAGGCCTCTTGGGCAAGCTTTGGGCGATCTTTGGGGCTTTTTGGGCCGTCTCGGGCCAGCTTCGAGCCAACTTCGGCCATCTTGGTGGGTTCCTGGCACGTCTGAAGCCGTCGGAAGCCGTTTGGGGGGCCTCTATGGGCCGACTTGGGGCCCGCTTGGAATGCTCCAGGGCCGTCTTGGAGGCCATCTTGGGCGTCTGGGAGGCCATCTTGGGCGTGTTGGAGGCCTCTTGGGCCCTCTTGGGGCCCTCTAGGGGCCATCTTGGAGGCCACTTGGGCCATCATGGGGCTCTCTTGGGGGCCTCTTGGGCGATCTTGGGGGCTTCTTGGGCCGTCTTGAGCCGTCGGAGAGCCGAAAAGGCGCAAATGCCAAAATCCTTCAAAAACCAAGGAAAATCAATGATTTTGGCCTCTTCGGACTCTCCTGGAGGACCTCTTGGAGGCCTCTTGGGCCGTCTGGGAGGCCTCTGGGGGGCCTCTTGGGCCGTCTTGGGCCGTCTTGGACTCTCTTGGGCCGTTTTGGAGGCCGTCTTGGACCATCTCGGGCGGACTTGGAGGCCATCTTGGGCCATCTTCGCGATTTTTTGAGGATGTCCCGAGCGAAACGGCCGTTTTTGGGCATTGACAGACGGATTTTGGGAAGTGTGCGGGTGGCCGGCGGGACGGGTCGAAGCCCACTGGGGAGTTCTTTTAGAAAAAGAACCAAAACCAAAACCTGAATCGTCCAGCACGCCGTGCACCCCTGCAAGCAGGGGGCGGCGGATCTACTGGCTTTCGGCCCATTCCGCCACCGTGTGTTGTGAGTATGAAGCCTATGGGATGTTCGTTTGGATCTCGTGGGAGGGGAGCAGTTTTGAGGCCTCTCTTGGGCCTCCTTGAGACCTTTTGGGGCCTCTTGGGGGCCTCTTGGGGCCTCCTGGGCGCCTGTTGGGGCTTCATGAGAGCCTCTCGGGGCGGAAGGCTCGGATTTCTGGTTCGCGCTCCCTCTTTTGGGCCCCTTTTGGTGCCGTCTTGGGGCCCTACGCATACGTGCGCCGCTTCCACTCCCGCCTTCTCAGAAACAGACTCCCCTCGTGCCACCCCCTGCTTGTGGGCGCCGTTAACACACGGACGCTCAGTGCATGAGTCCAGGAACTGTTGAGCTGGATATCTCTGTGCGAAGCATTCTCGCCTGCCGTCATTTGGCTTCCAGAGTCCGTCGCCGTCGGACTGCACCCGTGCGTTGTCGGATTGGTCGTGCTCGGTCCCCTGCTGGGTGAACGGGTGCCTGTCGTAAACTCATCGGGTGCTTTGCAGAGGCAGGGGGATGTCGTCCAGGTTTTTGCGCCCTCCTCCGCCTCCGCCGCTTCATCCCCCTCCGTGCTTCATTCTTCCTCCCTCCAGTGCATCGAATTTGTTCCAGAGGCCTAGGCCTGGGCGCCTGTCCGCACTGGTGCTCGCTCGCTCGCTCGCTCGCTCGCTCCTCCTGCTCCTCCTCCTCCGCCATTCTTTTCCCTTCTGAACAACTCCTTCCTGTCGCGCCCTCACGCGTGTCATCAGGACGGCCCGCAACGATAATCAATTCTCGCAGTGACCTTCGAAGAGGCAACTTGGAGGGAGGGGTTATTGCAAAATCGTTGTTGAATCTTGGGTTTACACTGGTCCTCCTCCTCCTCCTCCTCCTCCTCCTCCTCCTCCTCCTCCTCCTCCTCCTCCTCCTCCTCCTACTCCTCCTCCTCCTCCTCCCCATAGATTTCTGCTGTCATCTCGGACCCACGCCTGGCGAGAGGCTGCAAGCTCCCACGGCATGCCCACATGCCGTGCCCGAGGGAGCGCGGGCGTGCGCCGGGCGTGGCGCGGGGCGCCACATTCGGCGACTACGGAGGGTGTAGTTACGCCGTGGTGTGGTTTGCGATCGGCGTCGCTGGTTCGAGGAGGGAATCTATACATAACCACCGACTGGAGGATCGATTTTCTCGGACCTCCGCAGGCGGGTGAATATGGATATATTCGGGCCCCCAGGGGCCAACATATATCCACATCCATCGCCCGCTGGGTCCCCAGGACGTCGTTTCTCAGGCGGTTGATACAGATAAATTCCTGCCTCGCAGTTGGGGTCTTGGGGGGCACGACACCGCCCTCGTCGGGCATCCTCGGGGCGCGGCAGAGAACCCTTGTCGAGGTCCCCGCCCGCCCCCCCAAGAGTGCTAGGGTGCTGATTGCAAATCACACGCTTTACAAACCACCCCTTTCGGAGTCGCCGACGCATGATGGGCGCGGCCCGGTCCGGCGCGTCGGCGGAGGCCCTGTCGGCAGCTACCGGGGCGTCGAAGGCGCACTCGGGCAGGCTTCGGGGGATGGGAAATATGCACATGCACAGACCCTGACCAGGCCCATCCTGCTGCTAGCATCGGTGCGTGTCTGATCCCGGGTCGAGGGTTCACAGGCCGCCCACCCCCACCAGACGGGATGGGGCCCAGAGTTCCACAGGCCCCTCCTCTCGCAGACGGGATGGGCGGTGACGCCGACGCCGACGCCGACGCTGATGCCGACGCCGACGCCGACGCCGCCGCCGACGCCGCCGACGCCGACGCCGATGCTGACGCCGAGGCCGACGCCGACACCGACGCCGACGCCAACGCCGAGGCCGAGGCCGAGGCCGAGGCCGAGGCCGAGGCCGAGGCCGACGCCCACGCCGACGCCGACGCCGACGCCGAGGCCGACGCCGACGCCGACGCCGACGCCGACGACGCCGACGAGGACGACGACGAACCACCCTACACTCACAGGGCCACGACCACATGGGGGCTGGGGAACGATACCATTCGCGCGGCCTTCGCGGGGCTCACGGGCGTGCCCATCCAGCGGAGGGGGCGGTCCCATATGCACTGGGGGGGAGGGTGGGGGCAACCCTGGAGCACATATGCCTCCCTGGCCGAACCAGGTGGGCGTATGCACTGATCCTGGGCCTAGGATGGTCTAGGCCGCAGGAACAAAGAGCCAAATCTCCGACGTCGTGACTCTTCACAACGTCGACCCCCAGAGGTCCAGACCCCTTCCTCGGGGCGTTTTTTTCGTCCCGAGTTGTTTTTTGACGGTCCTAGTGCCTGGCGAGTGCCCCTGGAGGCCGAGAATAGCAAAAATCCGGTCGTCATGTTTTTTTCGTGACCCAAGGGGGTTTGGAGGCCAGGGTCGGTACATTTTCGCACTCGTCTTTCCTTTGAGGCTGCGCTGGGCCGTGAACTCGGCGCGGTGGCTGCCTGAGGGCGGCGCCGACGGCCCCGAGTTCCAGTTTCTGCTGTCCCTAGTCGACGCGGCCGACGCGGGCCAGGTCCGCAGGTTCTGCTTCGAGGAATCGAAGAAGAAGCAACTGCACTAACATAAACTTTCGGAGCTCCGCGCGGATTTCTTGGATCGGCGCTGTCGCGCCAGGGGGGGCCCAGCGCTGATTCAATAAATCTGCGCGGACCTCTGAAAGCTTATGCAGCTGTTTTTGGTGTTCCTCTAGAGGAGGACCGCAAGCGCGCGCTCCTCTCCCGGCTCATGGCGCGCCAGGCCTCCGCGAGGGTCCTCGGCCTCCGCGACTTCGCCGACATCCGCATCGCGCGGACGCTCGGCAAGAAGCCGTACCTGAAGGCTCGGGGGCGGCCTGACCGACCCGTGGCAAGCTCGGGAGGGAGGAACAGTATCGATGCGACGCCGCTGTCGGCAGCCCGTCAGCGTGTGAGTCCTTCGTTTTTTCCCGGAAAGGGCTTAAGCCCAGGGTTCTCTTTTAGTTTGTAAACTAGTCCCCCGGTGCCTGCTTGAAGGAGGCCGGCGAATTTTTCCCTGATAAATAACGAGGTCGAAGGAGGCCGGCGAATTTTTCCCTGATAAATAACGAGCCCGAGAATTAAAATTTGAGGATGTCTCGAGCGAAACGCTTGTTTTTGAGCGCCGGCGAATTAAAATTTGAGGATGTCTCGAGCGAAACGCTTGTTTTTGAGGCCGGCGAATTAAAATTTGAGGATGTCTCGAGCGAAACGCTACGGCCCCACCCCAGCAAGACCACACCCCAGCACGACCACACCCCAGCACGACCTCACCACAGCACGACCACTCCCCAGCACGACCCCACCCCAGCACGACCACGCCCCAGCACGACCACACCCCAGCACGATCACACCCCAGAACGACCACACCCCAGCACGACCCCACCCAAGCACGACCCCACCCAAGCACGCCGGAAAGGGCAAGAGCCCAGGGTTCTCTTTTAGTTTGTAAACTAGTCCCCCGGTGCCTGCTTGAAGGAGGCCGGCGAATTTTTCCCTGATAAATAACGAGGTCGAAGGAGGCCGGCGAATTTTTCCTTGATAAATAACGAGCCCGAGAATTAAAATTTGAGGATGTCTCGAGCGAAACGCTTGTTTTTGAGCGCCGGCGAATTAAAATTTGAGGATGTCTCGAGCGAAACGCTTGTTTTTGAGGCCGGCGAATTAAAATTTGAGGATGTCTCGAGCGAAACGCTACGGCCCCACCCCAGCAAGACCACACCCCAGCACGACCACACCCCAGCACGACCTCACCACAGCACGACCACTCCCCAGCACGACCCACCCCAGCACGACCACGCCCCAGCACGACCACACCCCAGCACGATCACACCCCAGAACGACCACACCCCAGCACGACCCCACCCAAGCACGACCCCACCCCAGCACGACCACACCCCAGCACGACCACACCCCAGCAACGCTTGTTTTTGAGCGCCGGCGAATTAAAATTTGAGGATGTCTCGAGCGAAACGCTTGTTTTTGAGGCCGGCGAATTAAAATTTGAGGATGTCTCGAGCGAAACGCTACGGCCCCACCCCAGCCACACCGACACCACACACCCCAGCACGACCCACCACAGCACGACCACTCCCCAGCACGACCCCACCCCAGCACCACGCCCAGCACGACCACACCCCAGCACGATCACACCCAGAACGACCACACCCCAGCACGACCCCACCAAGCACGACCCCACCCCAGCACGCACGACCATACCCCAGCACGACCACACCCCAGCACGACCCGACCCCAGCACGACCCTACCCCAGCAAGACCACACCCCAGCACGACCACACCCCAGCACGACCTCACCACAGCACGACCACGCCCCAGCACGACCACGCCCCAGCACGACCACGCCCCAGCACGACCACGCCCCAGCACGACCACCCCCCAGCACGACCACCCCCCCAGCACGACCACCCCCCAGCACGACCACCCCCCAGCACGACCACACCCCAGCACGACCACTCCCCAGCACGACCACACCCCAGCACGACCACACCCCAGCACGACCACAGCACGACCACACCCCAGCACGACCACACCCCAGCACGACCCGATCGATAAATCACAGGGTGCGGAGCACCCCAGCACGAACCCACCCCAGCACGACCCCACCCCAGCACGACCCCACCCCAGCACGACCACGCCCCAGCATGACCACACCCCAGCACGACCACACCCCAGCACGACCACTCCCCAGCACGACCCCACCCCAGCACGACCCCACCCTAGCACGACCACACCCCAGCACGACCACACCCCAGCACGACCCCACCCCAGCACGATCACACCCCAGCACGACCCCACCCCAGCAAGACCACACCCCAGCACGACCGCACCCCAGCACGACCTTACCACAGCACGACCACACCCCAGCACGACCACGCCCCAGCACGACCACGCCCCAGCACGACCACGCCCCAGCACGACCACGCCCCAGCACGACCACGCCCCAGCACGACCACCACCCAGCACGACCACCCCCCCAGCACGACCACCCCCCAGCACGACCACCCCCCAGCACGACCACACCCCAGCACGACCACTCCCCAGCACGACCACACCGACCTTGGTTGAGTGGTTGCCTGTCGTCGTGGAATGTTTCGTGGGGTGTCTCGTGGAATGTTTCGCGGGGTGTCTCGTGAAATGTTTCGTGAGGTGTCTCGTGGAATGTTTCGTGAGGTGTCTCGTGGGCTGTTTCGTGAGGTGTCTCGTGGGATGTTTCGTGAGGTGTTGCCCAGTTGGGTATCATGAAAACGTGTCCATGCTCCACATGTCTATATCCCTTTCCGGGTTCGTGGGTCCATCATGTTTTGTCCGAAGGCCTTGTGCTCCCTCCACGGCAGCACGCCGATATGCTCCCCGCGGCGGCACGCCACTGTTTTTCCCGGAAAGGGCTTAAGCCCAGGGTTCTCTTTTAGTTTGTAAACTTAGTCCCCCGGTGCCTGCTTGAAGGAGGCCGGCGAATTTTTTCCCTGATAAATAACGAGGTCGAAGGAGGCCGGCGAATTTTTCCCTGATAAATAACGAGCCCGAGAATTAAAATTAGAGGATGTCTCGAGCGAAACGCTTGTTTTTGAGGCCGGCGAATTAAAATTTGAGGATGTCTCGAGCGAAACGCTTGTTTTTGAAATCCCGACCTCACCACACCCCAGCACGCACGACACGCCCCAGCACAACCACCCCCAGCACGACCACCCCCCCAGCACGACCACACCCCAGCACGACCACCCCCCAGCACGACCACACCCCAGCACGACCACTCCCAGCACGACCACACCCCAGCACAACCCCACCCAGCACGACCCCACCTAGCCGACCACACCCCAGACGACACACCCCAGAAGACCACACCCCAGCACGACCCCACCCAAGCACGACCCACCCCAGCACGACCACACCCCAGCACGACCACACCCCAGCAGGACCCCACCCCAGCACGACCCAGCACGACCCACCCAGCACGGCCCGCCCCAGCAAGACCACACCCCAGCACGACCACACCCCAGCACGACCTCACCACAGCACGACCACACCCCAGCACGACCAGCACGCCCCAGCACGACCACGCCCCAGCACGACCACGCCCCAGCACGACCACCCCCAGCACGACCACCTCCCAGCACGACCACCCCCCAGCACGACCACCCCCCAGCACGACCACACCCCAGCACGACCACACCCCAGCACGACCACACCCCAGCACCAGCACGACCACACCCCAGCACAACCCGATCGATAAATCACATGGTGCGGACCACCCCAGCACGACCACACGCCAGCACGACCCCACCCCAGCACGACCCCCCCAGCACGACCACGCCCCAGCACGACCACACCCCAGCACGACCACACCCCAGCACGACCACACCCCAGCACGACCCCACCCCAGCACGACCCCACCCTAGCACGACCACACCCCAGCACGACCACACCCCAGAACGACCACACCCCAGCACGACCCCACCCAAGCACGACCCCACCCCAGCACGACCACACCCCAGCACGACCACACCCCAGCAGGACCCCACCCCAGCACGACCCCACCCAGCAAGACCACACCCCAGCACGACCACACCCCAGCACGACCACACCACAGCACGACCACACCCCAGCACGACCACGCCCCAGCAAGACCACGCCCCAGCACGACCACGCCCCAGCACGACCACAGCCGACCACACCCCAGCACGACCACGCCCCAGCACGACCACGCCCCAGCACGACCACGCCCCAGCACGACCACCCCCCAGCACGACCACCCCCCCAGCACGACCACCCCCCAGCACGACCACCCCCCAGCACGACCACACCCCAGCACGACCACTCCCCAGCACGACCACACCGCCTTGGTTGAGTGGTTGCCTGTCGTCGTGGAATGTTTCGTGGGGTGTCTCGTGGAATGTTTCGCGGGGTGTCTCGTGGAATGTTTCGTGAGGTGTCTCGTGGAATGTTTCGTGGGGTGTCTCGTGGGATGTTTCGTGAAGTGTCTCGTGGGATGTTTCGTGAGGTGTTGCCCAGTTGGGTATCGTGAAAACGTGTCCATGCTCCACATGTCTATATCCCTTTCCGGGTTCGTGGGTCCATCATGTTTTCACTGTGGCTCCCCGACGAGCTTGCTCCTCCCGTGATGCCCCCCCCACCCGCCCCGCTCCAGGACGTGGGCGGGCGGCCGGGCGAAGGCCTCCACGGCGAGGGGCTCGTCACGGAAGGGGTCGTGCCCAGACCCCCGACGTCGGGATTCTTTCGTGGGTGATGGGCTTGTTTTCCACCACCACCACACGCTGGATTGGGGAAGGAGGAGGATGAGGAGGAGGACGAGGAGGAGGAGGACGAAGAGGAGGAGGAGGAGGAGGAGGAGGAGGAGGAGGAGGAGAGGAGGAGGAGGAGGAGGAGGAGGAGGGGAGGAGGAGGAGGAGGAGGAGGAGGAGGGAGAGGGGAGGAGGAAGAGGAGGAGGAGGAGGAGGAGGAGGAGGAGGAGGAGGAGGAGGAGGAGGAGGACCCCCTCCTTCTTCAATCTATGGTGGTGGTAGTGGAAAACAGGCCCATCAGTGGGCCCCAGAGGTCTCGACCAACTTCGCAGCACCAGCTTTTCATCGCACCGCATCGCCGGCGGCATCTGAGCTAGCACGGGGCGACCGTAGTTTTTGTTGACGGTCCTGGGGCCCGGCGAGGGCCCCCAGAGGCCGAGGTTGGGCAACCGCCTCCCGCCGTGAGTTTTCCACGACGTGAGCTCTTGTTTGGGGTCGTCGAGGCCGCGCCCGAGAAGGCCCCCCGCCCCAGCGCTGAGCTGGCCAACTTCAACTTCAACGTGTCCCACGAGGGCGACTGGGTCGTGCTTGCGTCCGAGCCCCTGTGCGTGTGCGGGGTGGACGTTGCCGCCCCCGAGGCATGCAGGAGCGGGGCCTGGACGAGTCCCGACATCCTCGCGACGTTGCCAGATCTCCGAGGATTTGTTCTTTTCAGTCCTGGAGTTTTTCCCAGATTTCGGCATCTTTTTCGCCTTTTTGGGGCCTCCTGGGAGGCCCTCGTCGCCACGGCTGGATGCGCTTCGAAATGCTGGTCAGGACGGGACCCAGGAGAGGTCCAGGGAGTAGCGGTGTTGGTATTTCTGCGGGTCTGATTTTTTGAAGCCAGGCGCTTTTCCTCGATTTCAGCCTCTGGGCCAGGGCCAGTCGTCGGGCCCGATGGCTGTCAAAAATGGGCCCAGGACGCACATGTGCCCCCCCCAGGGAAGGGGTCGGGACTTCTGGGGCCGCGGAGGATTTCTGTGTCGGTTAGATATGACCACAGAATGTTTTCGATCGAAGCTTTCGTTGGTTCTTGGAGGCTTTCTCGCTTCGGGATGCTTGCCAGCAGCTGCACCTCGCCCAGCGCGTTCTTGGGGGTACCAGAATCGTCCTGAACGGCTGCTGGAGGCCGAGTTGTGTGACCCCAAAGCCGACCCCTTCGCGTGGTGAAAAACACGACGGAATGTTTTCGGGAATTTTCAGCCTTCGGGGGCCTTACCAGGCCCCGGCATCGTCAGAAGCGACTCAGGATGAGTAGCTGGCCGCAGGAGGAGGCTCAGACCTCTAGGGAGCCAGGTTGCGAACAAAAACACGACATGGGATGTCAGGAAAAGGGTCCCAGACATGCGATGTCCTGAGTTTCGGAATGCGCGGTCCCCCGAAGTCCCGATCCTTTCCCCAGGACAGGCCTTTCGTCTTGAGCAGTTATTATCTTGAGGCCGAAAAGGAAGAGGTACAGCAATCTTTTTTTCGCATTCTCGCTGCTTGTGGATGACGGCGCTCAAAGGAAGTGCTTACCCAAGCGGTCGGCTGGGGGTCTCCGTGAGCATCGGCTGCAGCTAGCTCCCCGATGCCCTGCCAAATTCTTAGGGCAGCCGCGCGAACAGGCAGAAAAACCTCCCGTCTTGCTTTTTCCACGACGCGAGCATTTCTCGGGTGGGAGTGGGAGGTGATGGAATCTGCTGCTTCCAGCTGTTCTCGGCCCCGCCGTCGGCCCCGATTAGCGGGCCGACCCTGCCAAGTCAAGGGTACCCCCTAGCGTCCTGCTTCTCGCGACCCATGCCTCCTGCATTCTTGTGGCAACGCGGCCTTCGGAGGAATCTGGTGCCCTCTCGCGCGTCCTGCCCGATTGAGTCCGACTGTACGCGGCCGCTAGCGCTGGGAGGCGCCTGGGACGCGCCCGGCCCCGCGGCAGGAGGCTCGTGCCGTGCCGACGCGGCCGCGATCCCGCCGCGGGCGTCCAAGGTGCCAAGCGGTGTTGGGGCGATCTCGTGGACTGTTTTGGATCTGGTCTCGTTTCGCAGCAGGGGCAGAACGAGGACAGAGCGAAGGGACAGGAAGACAGAACGAAGACGAAGAGCCTTGTGCAGCTTGAGCCCTGGCCAGGAGACCTTTTTCTGAAGGGTTTGGCCATAACCGCCGGGGGAAGGAGAAGCGACGCCACCACCATCAGGGGGGCCACCTGCGGCGAGGAGATCCACGAGGCCTCCCCGAGCCGGGGACAGGGGATGCAGGGGGTGTCTCGAGCAAGGGGGGGACCACACCACCAGGGGGACCCCTCCCCTGGCTCCACCGCTGGTGGTCCCCGGTGGTTTTGGTGTCGCTTTTCCATGTTCTTCAACCAGGGTTATCGGGCTCGCCCCCACCCTCCCCCCAATAGCCTGACCCTGTCAGGTGCGCAGGTTTGAGCCTGACCCTGTCAGGTGCGCAGGTTTGAATGGGGTGCTCAGTGCTGGTGCGCACGGGCGCACGTCACACGTGGAGTGCGCGCGGGCACACGTGGGCTGCCCAAAGCGAAAAGGTTAGGATATCGGCCGGCACTTCCCCATCCCTCCCACCCCACCGGATAACCCGGGGTATTGCCGAAAACGCAGAGCGAACACCAATGGCCCAGAATTGGCTTATGCAGAACGACCTAGCGATCGAAAAGCCGCCGATCGTTCAAGGTTCAACGATCCGCACGGTGTCAGAAACCAACGCCGTAAGCGTCACGACGCGACCTCGCCGCAATTACGTGAGCCGACTCGCCAGCCCCTTCTTTTCTGCTGTTCCCACACCCCTGGCCGCCAGCGCCGGAGGAAGGGCGCGAGGACCGACGTCTTCGACGTCTTCCAGGACCGGGCGGCGCCAACCGACCACCCCGCCGACCCTGGCCAGGCCGATCCTGGGCCTAGGCCCTGTCCGGCCAACCCGGGGCCCATCGTGGACGAAGAAGAGATCCGGTGCCGCCACCTCGCGGGCTGGGCCCCTGGGCCGCGACCCCGCAGATGCTGTGGCGTTCTTCCGCTGGTACCCCGCGTGGAACGCATCATCCTCGGAGCCGCGCCCCGGATCCAGACCGCGAGGGCGCGGATGCGGCTGCGCTCGCCGCTCCCAGGCGTCCGCCGTCTCGACTTTTTGAGGCGCGGGCTCCCGACCTCTGGACCACTTCCGCGGGCCCGGTTCTCCATCTCAGGGGCAATGATCGGGGTTCAAGAGACGGGGGTCAATGCAGACTGGGGTCAGTCAGATCGCCAGAACTTGCAGGATCCTGTAGAGCCAGGGTTGCATTGACCCGGGTTTGGGTGCAGGATCCCGCAAAGCTTGACTGACTCAGGTCTGGATTGACCCGGGTCAGTAGATCCCCGAACCGATGGGGGAATAGGCACAGTCCCCCACTCGCCCATTGATCACCGATAGGGCCCCCCGATAGCCCCAACCCACCCAGGAAGGCGCGGTTTCACTACCTGGGGCCTATCGCCGATCCATCGGCGATGTATCGCCGATTCGAGGTCGATGTTTCCCTCCCTGTGCCAGTCCCCCCCCCGTCGTTACACCTCATCATCATGCAAAACCTCAATCTCGATTTTTCCGGGGCGAGTCGCCAGATGTCTGGGCTCGCATGCCCGGGGTCGGCCCGGACGGGCTCGGCGAGGCGGTCGCGCGTCCTCGCCTGACAGGAGCAGCGGCGACGACGACGCCGACGTCGACGCCGACGCCGACGCCGACGACGCCGACGCCGACGCCGACGGCAGTGGCGACGACGACGACGACGACCACGACGACGACGACGACGACGACGACGACGACGACGACGACGACGACGACGACGCTGGCACCATCGACGACGACGACGCCGCCGACGACGACGACGACGCCGACGACGACGCCGACGACGGCGCCGCCGCCGACGACGCCGACGACGACGACGACGCCGCCGACGACGACGCCCCCCCGACAGGAGCAGCTCTCCCCCGCGGAGTGGGCGGAGGTCCGCCGCAGGGCGGCCGAGGCGGGAGGGCGCCGCAGCCCGCCACGCCGCCCTCACGCCCTCCTTTCGCTGGCCGCGAGGGCCGGGCCCAGCCGCAGGGCACCCGGGCGGGTTCGAGCTGGCTCGCTGCTCGGTGCCCCCGTTGAGCTCTATCGCTGGTGCAGCCAGCTCGGGCCCAGAGGTCGACACCAAGACCCATATCGGCGGCGTGCCTCCACCGAGGGACGAAGAGCCCGATCTCGGGGATGCTGGTGATATTCTGGCTTCCAAGGTGGCCGAAATATTGCCACCAACACCGAAATCGTGAATCATCTCCCCCCCGAGGATACATTACCAGTGGCGGGCTGCTTTTCAATCCCCGGACTTACTGAGGGTCGAGAACGACGCTGGGGTGGTGTGGTGTATACTTTTTTCCTCGACGTCCTGGGGAAACAACGAAACATGTATACACCAGGGTCCCGTATACACCAGGTCGTCCTGGGGCGCCGCATCGGCCACACCCATTATGGAGCTGGTTTCGATGTTCTGACAGTTTGTGGCGTGCGCAAGACATTCCCCAATGTGTGTCCTCGATGTGGTTGTGGTCGCTTGCTGTCCCCGCATAGAGACAGGGGCCAATGCTCAGGAGAGGCTAGGCCCATACGGAGTGAGTTTATATGGAGTGCTCGGTCCCCATCTGGGCTCACTTCGCCTGGACTCAGCCTCCTCCTGAGAGGATGCTAAGTCCATACGGAGTAAGTCCATACGGAGTGCTCGATCTCCGTCTGGTCTTGACGGCCCCAAGGACAGACAAGACATGGCTCAGGATGGAAAGCCGGCCCAGGGAAGTGGTCCAGACCTCCGGGGTTCCACGCATCGAGAAAATAGGAGCGCCGGATGTCTGGTCCTCGAGCCAGAGGCTTTCGTCGGGCCGGACTAGGACGAGGATAAATCAGCTCCAGAGCGTTCCAGAACGCTCTCAGAGCGTTTTGGGGCGCTAGAGAAGGCCGCGGCCTCCGAAGCATCCTCCAGAGCTGCCGGACCTCAGAGATTCTTGATTGCCAGATTCCCGACGTCATAGTTTTTTAAGACGTTGACTCCCTGAGGTCTGAGCCCCCTTCCCTGGGACTGGTTTTCCATTCCGAGTCGGTTTTTGACGGTCCCCAGGCCCGGTAGGGGCCCCCAGAGGCAGAAAATAGTGAAAGATCTCCCGTCGTGATCTTCTTCGTCCGATTTTATCCTCGTCCTGGCTTCGTCTTATAGTTCGACGGGAGTATTCCTGGGCTCTTTGAGGCTTTCTCGCCTAGGGATGCCTGCCAGCAGCTGCGCCCTCGCCCAGGGCCCAGCCGCCAGACTCCAAAGGGGCAGGAAAGGTGGACGCTTCGTCGCACCCCATTGATCGCCCCCCGTTATGAGCAACGCCCGACAGAACGCCGGCCACCTCGCGCTGTGGAAACATCACGGCGGTGGATCTTTCGGGCTGTTCTTGGCCGCCGTGGGCCCCTAGAGCGGGCGCCCGGGCCGTCGAAGAGAGCGGCTCCCGCGATGAGGAGCCACGGTCCCCGGGGGGAGGAGGGTCCGCCTTTTCTGGGGGAGCCACGGCGTGACAAAAACCACGACGTCGGATGCCCGGGGAGGGCTGCAGCAGCTTCGCGCCGCGCTGACGCGGCGGCGGCACCGGCGCGGGCGTTCAGGGTTGAGCGCCGCCAGTGGCGCGGGACCGGCCTACAGTCAACCCGCATAGTAAGCATGGGCAACCTTCCCAAGGGTACCCTTGCATCCTTGCCTCCTCGGTCCATCCTCGGCCACTTTCGTTGGCCACGCCCCGCTCGAAAAGCTTCGATGTGGCCTTCCAAGGCCCTTGCGTCCTTATCGTGCGTCCTCATTGTACAGGTTGGCTGTATATCGGACGATTTGTACCCTCGGAGCGCCGCGATCGCTCAGGGTTGAGAACGGCCTACGCCGAGGTCGTCACGACGCCAACCAGCCCGTTCTCCCACGACCCGAGGATGTGTCTGGTCTGGGGTCCGGGCCAGGGCCGGTGCTCTCGGTGTTCGGAGCAGGGCGAGCTGAGATAATGGCAGCTCAAGATGTAAGTCGGGCCTGTCCCTCTACAGGGGGAGAATTCAGAAACAGAAAAAATAATCAGGAGACGATCTTTTGACTATTGTTGAGAATTGTTGGAGTATTTTTAAAGTATTTATTTTCCGCCCAAGATCCCCCTGTAGGGGGACACGCCCGACCTGCTCCCAGGGTCCGAGCGCACCGATTTCCGAGCCACGTCCAGCCGAGGCGACGAGGGTCTTCCCCGAAGGCCAGCTGCAGTCGACGCTGATGGTAGGGAGGAGCGGCTCTCCAAGATTACCTCTGGCATCCTTCCCCTCCGGGCCCATCCTTGGCCACCTTCGTTGGCC